ATGGGACGGGAAAGAAGGAAGGAGGCCCGGAGAACTCACATCTCTCCATCCTCTCCTCCTCTGGGTTATTCCCAATCTGGTCTTAGGTCCAATATAGCAGTACCAGACCAACACTTGAAACTCACACCTGCTGGTGTTTTTCTTAAAACTGCACTCACTCTACCGTGCTTTTCTCTCTCTTGTGGTTAGCTGAGGGGCAATCTTTTAGAAGACAGTGCACATGGTGGGCAGCCTGTCATCCCTGGTCTCTCTGGTTCAGAACGAGGGGTGGCAGAGGGCCATTTAGTCCAACGCCTTGTGGCCCGGAGGCAGGAAGCGGCTTGCCAAAGTCCCAAAGATCACTGGGGGGTGGCAGAGCTAAGGGTCCAGCCTCTCCTGCAGCCTCGTTACCCCTGTTGTTTGAGGGTGGACATTTCAGACTAAGCCACTTTGGTCAGGAAAGGGGCCACGGGCACATCTGATAATCAGCTGACTCCACGAGACTCTATCTCTGTGAAAAAGCCCCTTGGCCCAGTTTGGGCTTATAGTGACTGAAAGCAGCACTGTGCCCCTGCTTCTGTCAGATCTGTGTCTGAGGACTCTGACAAGCTTCTAGACGTATGTGGCCTAAGAGGGAGCCAGTTCTGGCCCATACAGGCAGCTAGGTGGCACTGTGGACAGTGGGCTGGACTTGGGCTCAGAAGCCCTGAGTTCAAATCCTATCTCAGACAGTATTAGCTGTGTGACTTTCGACAGGTCACGCGACCTCTGCTTCCTTCTCAGTAAAATGGAGCTAACACCAGCACCTACCTTGGAGGGCTATTGTGAAGACCAAACGAGTTAATGTACATAAAGCGCTCCACAAAACTTCAAGCACACTATCAGTGCTGTTTCTATTGTTGCTAATGCTGCAGGGCAGCACCTGACTCAGATGCCCCAGAGATCCATGGCCTCCTTTCTGCCAGTGCCCGGCCCATGCCAAGGAGCTGGCTTCTCTCCTCAGGCACTACAGAAGGGCAGGAAGAGATCGTGAGAGCCACCTGACACTGGCCAGCCACGCCACCACTGCCTGAGGTCATGGCCTTGGTGTGACAGGAGTGTGGGAGGGTCTCTTTGTCTCCAGGTAGCTCCCCTCCCAGGCCACCCACCTGGATGAAACAGACTCCCTGGCCAGAGCGGCAGGCCCTCTGCAGAGGCAGAAGCACGACAGGTCGCTGGCCTCCCCCCAGGAGCTGCAAATGAGGCCGCCAGCCCAGTGGCGTCCGTCCCCTTTGGGGCTCTCCCTTCTGCTGAAGGTAGAAGTCTGGAGGAGACAGAAAGCAACTCAGAGTGCAAACCCACTACTAGAGTGATGTGCAGACAACCAAGAATGGCAGTCTACACTCACATCTGCTTTTGACTCAGCTCAAGAGCAAACAGGGTACATCTGAAAAAAGTTACCAAAATAGAAAACATTAATTGGATAGACCACAGACTTTTTCTACTGGAAGCAATAAATGCACTGGCACACAGCGCAGCAATCTTGAAGATGACCCAGGCCACGAGGACATCTGCTCAGAACAGGGGGCTGGGGACCTCACAGAGTGGGCCCAGCAGCGGCCTTTATTGACTTACATCCAGTTAGAAAGAGAAAACTTGAAAATATCCCCTTTTCTGAACCTCCTATTGCAGGGGTGGGGAACCTGAGGTCTCCAGGCCACACAAATCTCTTTGAATCCAAACTTCACAGAACAAATCCCTTTTGGCTTGCTAGGTCCTTGGGTGCCGCCTTTTGACAGAGTCCAAGTTTACAGAACAAATCTTTTTATCAAGAGGATTTGTTCTTCGAAGTTTGGATTCAGTCAAAGGGCTGCACCTGAGGACCTAGAGGGCCACACATGGCTTCAAGGCCAGAGGTTCCTCACCCCTGCCCTACGGCATCTAATTGCTCTCCAATACTTGGCATAAGAAAAGTGTGCCCAGTGGGACTGAGCACAGCCCCCTTCTCCCCCGGGCTGTTTATGGCAGAGATCATTTGTGGAATCAGCCACTGAACAAATTCTGCCCTCCTGCCTCCAAGAACACTTGGTCTACCTTACAAATCAAGTTCACACTCACCTCCCTGCCTGGGATTCTAGGCCCTACAAGGTGAATATGCTTGACCTTATCGTGTGACTTCATTCTATGTTCCAAGCAGCCTGGGCAGCTCTCTGCAGGCACCTCCCCCAGGGTTTTCCCTGTGTGCCCACCACCCTTGCCCCTTTTGCTTACGTTATTAGCTCTAAGCCTGCAGACTTTCCCCAACCCCCTCCCCCCATCTGCTGAATTCGCACACATTCTCTAACACTAACTCAAACACCACCTTCCCATTAAAGCCTCCCTCAATTTGGGCCTATGGTGTTTGGAAAATGTCTCTGTTGCCTCGTCCTGACAATCTGTAAAACGAAGGGTCTGGAGACCTTTCGGATCCCTCTCAGCTCAGCTTTCTGGGCCAGCACAAAGTATCCACACAGTCTCAGGAGGAGATGAGTCACCCAGCAGACACGGACGCAGCACTACACTCGTCAGCACTTACGTCTGGAGGGCTGGCTTGGACACTGTCCTTTTATGTACGGATACTGTGTGAACGCGCTGAGGCTGGGCCAGGGGAGGCTCCACGTGAGCTTATTCTGGGTAGTTTTGAATCAATTCTTGGAAAAGGCATTTACCAAAACAGATCCTGCCACCAGACAACCAGGGCTCAGTCTGGATCCCAACAACAGGACAAACAGACGAAGCCGTGATACTGCAGCACCCCATTAAACCACAGGTCACTGTTTACATGAAAAATGCCGTCCTCCCTAATGAGCCCCGCAGAAATGCCAGGTCAGCAGGCAGGGCAGGCACCCAACAAACAGGCAAGCATGCACACACACTGAGCTGGTGCCAGATCATGTTTTAATCAACTGAGCCTTTCCGGGGCTGGAACGAAGAAGCCACCCAGACTTAGCTGCTCAAAGCAGGAACAGCCTCATTTGCACGCTGGGGAGACGAGGCCAGGAAGGGAAGCAGATGCTCCCCCATCACCCAGAATGCCTGAAGACAGTGCAGCGGGGGAGCCCTGGTCTGGGGCGAGAACGGGAAGGGAGGCCAGCTCCACATCGCAGACACACGAGCCTTTCTCAACGGCAGGGTCAGGGCACTAGGTGGGCAAATCACCCAGCCACCCGAGAACACGGTGAGAGCCAGGCAAAGCCCTAGCCCTGCAGAGACGCTCCCGGGGGCTGCATGTAGCCACACAACCACAAAGCAGGCCAAGTGTGTCCTAGCCTCTGACCCTGAAGGCCCCTGATCTCAGATTCCTCTTACAGGTGCCTTCTTGCAGGTGAATCTCCCCACTCACGCTCTCATCTCTAAGGTTCCTCTTGACAAAGACGGTGTCGTCTTTGACAGTGCGGCCTGACGGGTCTGAGGAAATTCTGATTATGAAGTCAGATCACTTAAGTGTGCTTTAAAGGCCACAGCAAGCAAGTGAATGCATCCCCATCCCCATAAGAAACTCCAGGCAGGGATGGGACCTGTGAAACTCAGGACCCAGAGCCAGAGCTGGAAGGGACCTTAGAAGGGTGACAGGTGAGGAAACAAGGCAGGGGCGTGTCACTGGCGGGATCAGAGCAAACTCAGTAATTCCCAGCAGCTACACAGACTAGACTTCCAGAAAGGCTGAAAACGGCTCCATTGACCCCGATGAGAACAGCACCACCAGGCTAGAAAGGTGGCTGTTTCTGTGGCTGTCATTTTAGACATGTGCCTAATTATTCGTACAGCCCTAGCTGCAAATGTTCAAAAATAAAACTCAAATCACAGGCAGGAAGATTACAGTTTGACAGCATCTGGCCAGTTAAGCAGAGAGAAGAGAGGAGCAGGGAGAGAGCAGGCATCGATGCCTGGGGGGCCCTGACCTCAGCAGCTGCAGAACAGAGGCATCTCCTCTGGGGAGGGTCCATGCAACGTCAGCCCCAACCCTCCCCCATGAAGGACCCCTAGGTTAAGTTGGCTAACTGGCAGGATGTCACTTACAAAGCTGATACACCTCAAAAAAGCCAGAAAGCTGCTCCATCAGTGAGCCCCAGGTCCGGCCTTGGGACAAAGACATTCCAATGACACGCCAAATAGCTGCAGCTCCCCGCAAGGACAGGTCTCCCTGGCACCTGCCGGCTGAGAGCCAGCCCTGAAGTCGGCCCTGTGGGCCAACCCAGGTGACGCTTTCCTGCTCTGCTCCCTAGGTCTGAATGTCCCAGGTTCAGGGGTCCTTAGGCTATGGCCCTGGGGGAGAGTACACAGGACTGGAACCCAGATTGGATCAAAGACCCCAGAACCAAACCACCCCTTCCCCGAGCCATCTGAAAGGCTTCCTAGGTCACAGGAAGGTGGAGGCAAGCGCTTCTGGCCACAGAAGCAGGGGCCATTCTCTTACACACACAGGGCTCCATCGGGGCTGGATTAAAAACAGAACCGTTCTGGGGTGGGGGCAGGGGGTGATTCGCCTCTTCTCTCCCATCTTTTGGGGTCCTCTCAGGGAGACCTCCTCTTCCTGCTCAAAGCTCCCGGTCATTCACAGTAGGCCTGTAGGCACCCTGCCTGACCCAGGATGTGGCAGACATTGTACAGAATTCAGCCAGGATAACGAGATGGGCTGCCCTGTCAAAACTTCCTTATTTCTCCTAGGCACAGATACCGAGAGGCCATATTTACCAAAGATCTCCCTCCCCCAGTGCCCCAGAGGGATGAGCAGGCAGCCTCCTCAGACACATCTAAAAAGCCTTGCTACCCATTCACCCCGTCACTTGCCCTGAAGAGAAGACGGAAGCTTCTTGGGTTCTGCATAGGAGGCACATTTTTGCTTTTCGAAGCTGCTGCTGTGAGAGCCTTGAATACACATCAGCTGAGCTGATGTTGCCCCTGCACAGAGCAACCGTCAGTGGTTCCAGAACCAGAAGGGGACGCGGTTCTGGAGAAGAGTCAGGGCCCAGTTCTGAGTCGGCAGTGCCCTCCTCACTCACCTGCCAGGCAATGGCAAGCTGCGAGATCTCCCGCCCGGACATGCCTTCGGTCAGCCTGGCGATCTCTGAGCATTTTTTCCCGTAGTCAAACTGGGCCAGCTTCAGGCGCCTGAAAAGAATGGAGGACTCAGTGTGTGGGCTCTGGGGCAGTCAGGGGAGCAGCTGCCACTCACTTCCCAGAGTTAGGGTGGGAAGGGACCTCAGAGGCCATCTACTGCAACCTCTCTGGGGCTTACAGACGAGGAGACTGAGGCACATATGTACTGGTGGCAGAACCTGAACCCAAGCCCTTGGACACCAGCACCAGCGTCCTCATCACTGGGCAAATTCCCAATTCAGGTCAAGGGAAAAAAAACGAGAACTTGAAATGAAATCTCTGCTGTTCACCTAAGGTCAGAAACAAACGTTCCTGAAAACCAGGACAGAAAGCAAGTGTGGAGTAAGAAAAGCCTGGAGCAGGAAGGTCCCTAGGCCTTCCCACGGGCGCTTCTCCCTGCAGGCCAGGGCCCGGGGCCCACGAAGAGCAGCTTCTCACGAAAGCCCTGCTGCTCCTCAGATGTCAAGGAGCCCTGTGGGCAGCCCTGCGCCCCCCCCTTCTCTGCTGACAGTGCCCAAGAGCTGACGAGACGCAATTCCCAGCTCCTTCCTGGAGTCGAGCCCACGAAGGGAGGGACGCTTTGAAATCACCAGTTTACCCAATGATGTTTACGGGCATCACGGATGCATTCTGCCAAATGTTTCCAGCACAAAGCTGGTGCAGGAAAGAAATGCGGCAGTGGGATTGTGAAGTGGAACCCCCCCAACCATGCCCTCCCCCACAGGGGAGCCCCACACGCAACACCCTTTACTCTGACGGTCTTTTCAAACTGGCTCTCCGCTGTGGGGTGAACAAAGACTTCTGCCTAAGCGCCTGGGAGAAGTGGGGCAGTGGGTGCTGGGAGCAGGCAGGGAGGCTTTCACGTGGGGCCTGAGAAGAGGGAGACCCGCACCAGCTCTGTCCGCCCCCCGCCCTAGGCTGCCAAGGCCCCGACACTTACTGCTTCCCTTCCGTGGCTGGCTTCAGAACATACTTGTCAAAGTACATCCTGACCAGGCGCTCCCGTTCTTGGAGCTGAGGCAGGTCGAAGTTGACCATTTCATCTATTCGGTCATTGATGGCCCAGTCAAACTGCTCAGGTTGGTTACTTGCCAAGACCAGCATAAACCTGTGGGGACAAGCCAAAGGGCACTGCCATCATGCCCGTGTCGCCAACTGGGCTGCAAACAGTCAGCCACCAACTCAAAAGCACCACAACTAAAAGGACCACTTGTCTTTCTGCTGAGTGTTTCATCTGGGCAGAAATTCCCATTTCCTCCCAAGTCTTCCGAGCCCATTACATACCGCAGTTTAAGGGGAAAACAGTTTAGTGCAGATTATTCTGCAGAGACCCCAAAGGGGGGACGAGGCCAATGTACCGTCTCTCCCACCATCGCTTCCTCCCAGCAGGGGCTCTTTCTGCTTGCATCTGGAGAGTGGCCTAAGCTCTGCTCCCCCCAATTCTCTTTTCCACGTGATCTGATGTTGCCAATTTAATGAAGCCTCTCCCTTTGGATTAGTCTTTTCACAGCAGCTATTGCAACACACCAGAGCTCCTTCACCATCTGTTTAAGCTAAGGCTCAAGGAGGAGGAAGCTGGAGTCCTTGCAGCCCCTGCCGGGGTCATGTTCTCTGCTCAAAGAACCACACAACCACTTAGCTTCCCCCAGACCCACAAGCCCAACAGCCAGGCCCAGCAAGGCCAATGTCTTCAGCAGAAAAGAACATTTCATTCCAGCACTGCCGAAGACCTGGCCCACCCTGATGAAATCCCAGGCCCTGGAATCACCGAACTTCAAGGGGCCCCAGGCTTTAGAACCCCCATCTCCACAGGTTTCTCTTGAAAGGTTATATTGCAGGATTCCCAGGAAAGACTTCTAATAAGGAAGGAAAAGCAGAGCACCCTAGGGACGAGCGACCCCAGGCAGGTGACAAACACCACATAGGCTGTGGGCCAGTCTTCTTGAATCATTTTGGTGACTCCCTATGAATTTTACCCAGGAGTTCTTTTCAGGGATTCTTAGTATCAAAATCATGGGTTTGCCTTTACCTAAGATCTCAGCCATACATGCAGCTGACAAGAGGATTAGATGCCAGTGGGACACAAGCCTAGGCAGGCAGGAGACCAGAGAGCTCTGCCTCTCTGGTCTACCTGGTGGAGCCTCACTGAGTCTCCGCCAGTCATGAGAACCTGCACCAAGAAGCCAATGAGACTTCTCATACCCAAGAGTCCTGGCCAGTCTGTCACTGGGTGCCACCCTGCCAGACAGGGACCACAACGTCCAGGATACAGGAAGCGGGGATTTATTTTTCCAGAGCTCAATGAGAAACTTCAAATGTAGCGTAATTCCCAGGAACGGGAGACACTCACTTTTATAAAAACAGAACGCGTTACTCCTTCCTGGCAATGCCTTCTTACAACTCATTAGCTCTAAGAACAGTCCCTACTGTGCCTCCAGGGCAGAAGAGACCATCTCACCAGCCTTCCATTACAGTAACTCCAGCTGTCTTAAAATCAGCCCTTCACCATTAGGGTTGTTGTTTAAAATGACCATTTTTTCCAGCCCCAACAACACGATTCCTGTTTCCATCTGCTGTGGCTAGGATGTTCTGAGAGTGAATGAATATCGTCTTGAAGCAGTGCCGGCTAAGCCAAAGTGACTTGTAACAAGCTGCCCTTGTCATTTCTGGGAAGGACCAAATAGAGCTGGTCTGTGCTAGTCTTCCTAAGGGAGTGAGCATTAGCTCCAGGGCAGGCAAGCACCTGAACCCAGTTGCCCAAGGACCCCTGGGGGCCAGCCCACGCAAACTCTGAGCCGTCCCTCTAGCTCTCTCTGAATTTCACGACTGCCCACAGGCACACACTCGGTGGCCGGATCACACAGCCAGAGCTGTTACAGAGTTAGGTCAAATATGCAAATGCTGAGGGAGAGACACCATGAGGATGGAGAGGGAAGAGGGGACCGCAAACCATGCCCTGCCCCCACCAGGCGGGAAGGCATCAAGCACACCTGTTAGGACAGCTGGCACACCGAGTGACTCCAATGAAATTAAATTGTGTCTTTTCCCACGGACCGTTCACCTTTGGTGCTAAAAGCCTGTGAGAGGTGAAGCCAAGTCCTTCGGATTAAGGGAAAATGGGGGGCTTCACTTGTTAAGGAAAAAGTCTTACTTGACTAATACATCAGCCGAGAGCACCATCCACCTAAATATAAAACATCACGGCCCTGGAAGAGGTGAACAAAGTGGAGGGGTAAGTGTGTGAGTGAATGAGTGTGAGTGTGCACACATGCTTGTCAGGCCAGCACCTTCTTCACCCCCAATCTCACAGCAGAACCTGAGAGACTGTCTCTGGACGACACCACAACACCCTGAGCACACCGTGTGGATGTTGGGCGCGTCCTGCCCCATCGTGCATCCTTACTTGTTGCTGTGCTGGCCCGTCCGATGCAGGAATGCATTCAGCGTTGCCCGGAGGTCTTCACTTATCTTCTCCTGCAAAGAGACGTTGTGGACAGCTGTCAGCCACACAGGATGTGGGCAACGCCACAAACTCTAAAAATGCCGCTACTGATGACTTTATACTTGAACCAAGTAACCAAAGCACTGGTGGGAGTGGCTGAGAGCCTGTCCCTCGAAGGTCAATGAAAGAAAGGAAGAACGTGCTCACTAATCAGAAAGAGACCCTAAACATGCTGCGGAGAGCTCAGGGTAGGTATAGCTAGTGTTTCCAAGACACCCCCCACTCCCACCCCCACCACAAGAACAAGAATAACCAAACTGCATCGTAGTTAAGACCCGTGGGTCAGGAGCTCGATCCCCAGGATGGCGACCCCCATACGGGAAGGGCCATCCTGGGGGAGAAGAGGGGCTCGATGGGTCTGCCGGGCCCCAGAGGGCCAGACCAGCAGGGGCGAGGGGGAGGTTTCTGCCAAACTGCTCCCAGTCTTCATCAATCCTTCTGTTCTCACGTTTCCTGAATACCGAGGTCATTGGGATCAGCTGTTTCCACTTCTTCCTTGTGTTCTATTTTTAACCAGTACCAAACAATCTTGACACTTGCTGCTTTCTAATAAAACTTGACACCTGCAACTGCTAGCCCCCCTTCATTCCTACTTTTCATTTTCCCCTTGAGATGCTGGGCCTTTTGTTCTTCCAAATAAATTCTATTATTTTGTCTCACTCAACAGTATCCCTTTGTATAAACAGCATGGTGCTCAAATCCATAACTTAATTTGGTATCACTTTGGCACAGCTTAGACATGAACGCTGAACATCCTCCCAGTTATCTGAGTTATTCTTTATTGCTTCCAAGAGGATCTGATAATCTGTATCTATCCAAGTCTTTCGAGTGCCTTGGCAGGCAGACCCCTACATGCTCTATGCATGCTGGAGTTGTTTTGAGTGAGATTTTTTTTTATTATTTCCTCCTTGACTTTGTTATTGCCATATAGAAACGTCACTTTTTAAAAGTTAATTTTCCATTCTGTTATTTTACTGAGTTAATGATGCTCTCGATTAGTTTCTTTATTGATTCTATAGGGTTTTCTAAGAAAACCATCATGCCATCAGCAGGCATTGGCAGTTCTGTCTCTTCTTTGTCCATGTTTACACCTTTATTTTCTTTTATTTTTTTTTGCATTATTGCTGTTGTTAGCATTTCCTGAACTGGGTCAAACGGGCCATTTTTGTTTTACTCACATTTAATGGGAAAGCTATATATAATTCTATAGCTTTATCATAGATACATCTAATACAATGAAAAACGTCGTGTGACAGCTACATTTGGCAGGGTTATTTTTTTTTCCCAAAACATAAATTCTGTGATATAGATATTACACATAGCTTGGGAGGGTTGAAAATAAAATTTACTGCCTCGGCCAAAGATGTTGCACATGGTAAAATCTTTTTCCTGATTCATAAAAAAAGTCAAAAAGGGACTTGTCAGAGATGGAAAAGAATCCCCAAGTTACAACAAAGATCAATCCAATCAAATGCCCAACGTGAACTTCTCTTTCTTTGAATTCTACTGAGTTCATCTGTCTGTTAACTTGCTAAGGCACCCTAATCAAGGCAAATAAAAAAGGGAGCAGCCAGTGATGAACTGTGTGAGACTCGCTGACAGGTGTTGTGAAAACAGACTGAAGAACTGCACGTCCATGGACCCTGTGATGCCGCTACCACCTCTGTACCCCAAGAAGTCAAGGGAAAAGGACTCTATGTACCAAACTATCGAGAGCAGCTCTTCTCTGGCGGCAAACTGAGGGCATGGCTGGACAAGTATGTGACTGTGCTATGAGAAGTGATGCAGGGGATGGTTTCAGAGAAACCCCAGGAAGATCTGTGTGAACTGAGGCAGAGTGAAGGGATCAGAACCAGGAGCACCATCTATGCAGCCACTGTGCCATTCGAAAGATAACCAGCTGTGAAAGACTCAGGAACTCTGACTGACCCACTACCAAATCACAAGTCCACGGCCTCCAGCTGCAACGCGCTCCCCCTCCATCTCCAGAGCTGACAGACTCAAGCATGCACACTAAAGCACGGTTTTATTCTTACTCTCTTTCTTTTTCTAGTCTCCCCTCCACCCCACCCCCTCCCTGAACATGGCTAATGTGGAAATCTGTTTTGCATGACTATACATATTTGTGATGGGTTTATTATTTCTTTTGTTCTCAGTGAGTGGGCAAAGGAAGGAAGGAAGAGAATTTGGAACTGAAAATTTTTTTAAAAACTGAATGAAACAAAATAAAACTCACTGTGGCTCGCTTTCTCAGGAAGGCATCAGCTTCATCAACAAACAGCAAGAGGCTATAAATGAGAAGAGAATAAAGATGAAGGAACCTGGGCAGAGGGGGGGGGCAGCAGAAGCCCAAATGTGTTGGGGTACAGGGTCTGAGCATGATATTTTCTAGGAATTCTATGGACAAGAGGACATCACTGCTAGGAGCCAGAAAGTTCTTCCTGCGAGAGGACAGGAGGATTTTAAACCATTTGGGGCATGTAATTCTCCTTCACCACCAGACACCCAAGGAGCACGACAGGTCCTTTATGTGCTTTTATTAGACAATAAGGAAACACATCTCTTACACCAGGCACATGCTTTTAATATTTATTTCACCGCTAGCATTCAAGGAGTTTGACACCAAACAGCGCTTGACACACATCTCTAATCACATAATTTTAAGAAGCTAACAAAGAGCAATGGGGAGTCCTTCGTGGTCAACAGTTTTTACTTTATAAGATGAAGAGGTTTGAGTGACTTGAACCAAGTTAGGAAGAACTCAGTGTCTAGACCCACGGACAACAGAAAATCCTTTGTATAATCAAGTCAAAGTCTACAAGGAAATTCTAACATAAAAAAGGGATGTCAAACAGAAAGCATATCAATAATTAATGTAAAACTGATCTTCTGTTTTCTGGCAAAGTATTCCTATCTAACGGATGTGAGAATCAGACCCTGAACAATGCAGTGACTTAGTAACAAAGGAAGATGCTGAGTTCATGGAGACTGACGATACAGCAGTATGGCCCACAGGTTGGAGTGCTTGTGCCCTTTCCACCCCAACGCCTCATCTTGTGCAGAGGAAACTCTGAGCCTCAAAGGCCAGACCAGCAAAGTATGAGGTGGCAGGGTCTCGGCTAGGTTGGTCATTCAAGGCCTCAAGTATGGGAGGGCCCAGGCACAGACTGTACATTCACCACCTGAGGACCAGCCCAGCAAAAGCTGACCCTAAAACTGTTCATTTTCTAGCTACCACAGCAATTCGGGAAGGCTCTCTGGTAAGACACAGAGGGGTTGTGATCTCTGCCACGGCTGGGAAGCCATGAATCCATTGAAGCCCTGAGACCAGGAGCCCTGAGGTACTAAACACAATAGGACTTCCTTCTCCAAAGGTCTACACGCCTAAAAACTGCACCTACCCTCACTTCCTAGGCCTCCTTGCGTGGGACAAGAGGGCAGAGACAGTAGGAGACTTACTTTCTAAGTTTTCAATAGTCTTTTTTTTTTCTTTTGGCAAGGCAATTGGGGTTAAGTGATTTGTCCAGGGCAACACAGCTAGTGAGCGTCAAGTGCCTGAGGCAGGGTTCGAACTCAGGTCCTTTGGACTCCAGGGCTGGTGCTCTATCCACTGCGCCACCTAGCTGCCCCAGTTTTTAATATTCTTAAGTCACATCTTCTGAAAAGCTCTCACGACAAATACAGATTAAGTATTGATAAGGACATTAGAAGGGAGTGTGTCAGAACCAATCAGAATCCACATAAATCACCAATTAAATGCTTTTTTTGGCATAGTGTCTAGAAACTGTAAATACAGAATGAGCAGAGTCAGGCTGCTCTGAAGATTCTTTATGCATGTGTGGACAGGGTGATGGGCACCCACCACAAACATCTCTCGCTCCCATCTAAATTCCCCCTTCTGGCAGTAGGCAGGCCCAGAGAGCCAGCTGGAGCCCCCCTGGGAAATCCAGGTACAAGCCTGGTCCTAAAGAGGATGCAGTGAGTATCTGACACTCCAAAGCCATCTGTGTTTAGAAACAACAGGATGTAGCTCTCCGTCAAAGTAACCGCCAAGGGGCAGCACCACCTGTATGGCAGGTGCCACCACCTTCCCCCGAAGCCCACAAGGGCTCATCCACTCACCCTCTGCGGCTGGTGTTGGCCCAATCAAAGACCTTGTGCATGGCAGTCACTCCTTCTCGCCCCATGGGGGCGACATCACCACCAGTCATGATGGCATAGTCCATACCCGAATGCATGGCTAACTTCTACAGGCAAGAACAGAATGACAGGGAGTGTTAGGCAGGAGAGGTGATGAAGATGCCCCCTTCAAAATACACACAGGTGCTGATTTAACAGGTGAAAGAATTAGTAAAGACTTTTCTAATCTAGCATACAGATAGAGGGAGGCCTTGGAATTTTGAAATGACCAGCAACCATTCCTTCACTTTGTAATAAAAGATACTTGACCATCCTTCAAAAGAAAACATACATTCTTAAAATTTACCCATTTATTCTGCTGGTTCACCTCCAGGAACTCAGGCATCACCTCTTATTGGGAAGTTATTTAAAAACAAAACATACAAAAACATTTTCATTTTGCTTTACTCACAGAATTTAAATTCTCTCACTTACAATCTTTATGAGATGGCAAAGATGGTTACTACAATGAAGCCCTTGTGAGCTCTGTGAGCCATGGTGGCTTTTTTGACAAGGGCACCCTCCTCACTTCCCCAGGGAAAAATTCTCTGAACTTCTTTTTTTATTTTCTGAAACATTAGTTTTGAGGTTCTGCATTCACAAAGTCTAAATGTAAGTTTCTGGCAAGCCTCTCAAATTGCCTTTGTTAAAATAGGTGTATATATATCTAAACACCAGTTTTAGTCACCGTTTCCAAGAAAATAAGGTAAGAAAACCTTTGCAAAAGAACAAACTATTACTCATGGAGTCAGTCTTCCTCTATCATTCTAAGATTGTCAGGAGTTTCTTAACATGAGGACCAACTTAAGCCACTTCTGTCTGAGGGATAAAGTGGATTCGGATAAATGTTGGATGTCTAAAGTAAAGAGAAACGAGACACCTGACCATGAGTCAAATGAGACTAACAAAACTGGAAGTGAGATTCCTTCTCCAGACTTTGTAAGCAGGTCCTGACAGATGGTAGAGTGCCATCCAATTGGAAGGATTATTTCCCTTCCATATGCTCACTGGATGACGCAAGGGCTGAGGTAGGGAACTAGAGGAAACCTGGAAGAGTCCGTCCCCTGTAACCTCACCATGACACCTCTGACCTCGGAGCCAGCCATCTCACCCAGCCACAGAGTAGCAGCCTTCAGCACATCCCCTGCATACTTCCAGTTACTAAAGACTGGTGAGGAAGACTAAGGGCCTCTTTATAATAACTAGCAGCTTGGCATTTCAGAGTTAGTCAATCACAGGGCAGACGGCAGCATCTGAAGGAAGTACCATCTGGTCTGAAAGGAGGGCCTACCTCAAGGCCCTCCCACAACACCAAGGGATCTATCCTCTTCCCTCCCCTTCCCCTGGGACAAAGGCTGAGCTGAACTGGGGTGGGTGAGAGGCTCTGGTCTTCAAAGCTGACATGGCACGTGTCCCGCACTACGGGGCTTCACTGCGGGGTGTGCCAGGATCTTGACAGCTTTGTGCTTTTACCTTGGCAAAAAGTGTTTTCCCCGTTCCGGGGGGTCCATACATGAGGATATTCCTGTATAAGCTTTTGTTCTTCCTGGTGTTCCTTGTTGCTATGGCGATGTCCCTGACCCGTTCCTCCAGTTTTGGCTGCAGAAGGATGAAAAAGAAACCATTTGGGGACAAGTCACACCGTCTCGCTTTACAAGGCAGCCAAGGCAGGGAGGGGGCTGGTTCGGCTTGAATCCCAGACTAGTGAACTGGCTGAGGCCGAGCCGTCGGCCTGGAACTGAAGCCCCCTGAATCTCCTTCTGCCTCACGGATGGACAATTCCATGGGAAAGTGGGAATGTCTCCTTCTTTTAGTTTATACATCATCCTTCCTGTCTGAGGTTCAGTGATCAATTCTGGTTTTGTGATCCACAAAATAAAATATATTTAAGTACGTTAATAAGCTTTGGGCCTGAAAAACAAGAAAAGGGACAGAACACCGATGTTTGGGCAGACAGTAACTACGGACCACTGTCAGAAGGGTTTCCTTTCTGTCTTGGAAGTTCCAGAAATAGCAGTTTTAACTGTTGCAAGGTTCACTAAACTACGGCCAGAAAGCTAATATTTAACAGATTATGAACATTAAAGGTCATAGCTAAATAAATATACTAGCAGAGAAGGGTGGTTAAATCTCAAAGAAGCACAGTTACTGTATTTTTCACTCTGTCTTTGGGGGTAGAGGAGAAAATAATTCAAACATAGTGAAGTCTGGAATCATTAGAATGAGAAGACTTGGAATATTTTTAAAGTAGAAGAAAAAGCCTGCTCAGAGCTTCAAGTAGCAAGGAAAACAGGGCATGGCCCAGGTCGTTACTTACACTGAGAACAACTCCTTCCAGAGCATCCTGAGGCTTACTCGCCAGACGCCTGCCAACCTGTGGAGACAGTAGGAGGACTGGAGACCCAGACTTTGCGCATTGGTGGGAGGCAGTCCCTTAGAGAAGCGGATGTGGGTGGGGGCCTCAACATGGCCTCTGCCTCTCCCAAAGCTATGAAACCACGTTCTTATTCTACTTGGAAAGCTAGAGTCAATGACAAAGAAGCACGCGATGGAGAACTCTGTGCAGGGTTTTGGGAAGAACTGATCTACACGGGCAACAGCATGAACTGTGCTAGATTCCAGCTGTGCCGGTGAAGCAGCCATATTTTAGAATGGACAGAATCACGTGCTGAACACAAAGGAAATGATAGGGGGCGAGCGGAAGGGAGGTTGGTGGGAGGCAGGAAGGTCCAGGGAGGGCTTACCTTGATCGGATGCTTCAGCACCTCCAACACTGTAATTCGTGAGGTTTCTCTTACCAAGGAGGGCTTTCCTAGGCGGGCTTCAATGTAGCGGCCAGCAACTGCTGTAGCATTTTTAGCTGTGTAAACACCGACGGCTAGCAGTGTCAATCCTGCCACCTGCGAAAATAACGGGAGAAGACGCGCTCACCACACCGTGCCAATACCTCCATCCCTGCAGTACCTGCGGTGGCCTCAGTAATGCCACCTTAGGTTCAGGAAAACCTAAGATCACTTTTTGGCCCTGCAGGCATTTTTATGTGACAGGAGTAGGAAAATACGGCAAAAATTTCTCTTCAAGACAGAATCTTACCTGTTCTTTTAGCCTAGTAGGCCTGGTTTGGGCAGAACAAAAACCAAAAGGATAAAGAAGGGGGAAGGCATCTCAGACTCTTCCTATTATTCAACCCTAATTCTATTTGCTTTTAATAAACTTGGCTTGAACCTTGTCTATTTATAACGCTGCCAGTCACAAGACTGAACTCAATAAAATGAACCGCCCTCAGGCCCTCCACACACTAACCAAGCTGGCTTCTTTGACAAGCGTGTTGTGAATCCCTCTGTCAGGACCTCGTGAGGCCCCCTCAGACCTACGGCTGCTGAGTGCACTAGGTTTACAGAAGCAGACCCGGCACCCAGCACAAAGCTGTGCAGGCCAGCCTGCGCTGCAGCTCTAGGCCACAAGACAAGCCGAGCCAAGCCAGGAAGGCATCTGGACTAATTATCATTTAACCCAGGCCTGATGGAGACCTTCAATCCTAAGTGAGAAGAAAACACGGCAGCCCTTCTGACCTCCTGAGCCTGTGTTACAAGGTATGTGGGCACATATGGAAGCCACAGCACTCACTGGGAAAGAGCGTCTCACAGACACCTATGTCAGGATCTCCTCAATTTCAGGCCCGCACGTGGCACAGGCAGAAGAATCCCACACTATTCCTTGATTGCTACAGCCAAGTTCCTCAAAGCAGGGGATAATGGAGAAAGAACTGAAATGGGAGAAATAAGGAATTTCTTTCTAGGTTAGGAGCTATTAGGTCCCTCTGAAATGGCCTGCAAAGAGCAGGCTGTCTGGCCAAGTTTCCTCCAGGCACCAAAAAGAAAGATGTGGAAGAAACCCAATTTCCCTCCATCAACGCCCAACAAACGCACATGAGGTGACTACCTTCCCAGAATACACAATCACAAAACCTCAGCGATCCAACCAGTCACAACTGGCTCAGGCACCAGCAGTCAAACCCTCCTGCCTAGCGCACGAGAACACGTACTGTAAGTCAGAAACAAGTAAGCAACGGACAGCTTCTGAACGTCTATCACTTCACTCGAGGGCAGCGCTGTTACAGTATTTCCCATCGCTGCTGTTGTTCAGCTGTTCAGTTGTGTCCGACTCTGTGACACCATGGGCCATAGCATGCCAACACTGTCCTTGGGGTTTTCTTGGCAAAGATACTGGAGCAGTTTGCCATTTCCTTCTCCAGCTCATTTTACAGATGAGGAAACTGAGGCAAACAGGGTGAAGCGACTCGCCCAGGGTCACACAGCTGGTAGGTGTCTGAGGCCAGATATGAACTTAGGTCTTCCTGACTCCAGGCCCAGTGCTCTAACCACTGAGACACCTAGCTTCCTCATTCCCTTCATTACTAGGCCTAAAGCCTGGCCAACTACCTCAATAATACCATCTCCCCATCCAAAAAAAAAAACCAACCCAAACTGAATATATAATAGCAACATTTCTCAAAATGTCACCTTTAATGTTTTCTGTAACTGTTCAAAAAGCCAAAGGAATGTGGACAGAACCTCATTTCTCCAACAAATGATGAGCTCATTTTATCCTGCTACCCCCAATTTGATAGCTCTCCCACCTCCCATGTTTCCCAGTCAGTCTGCTCAGTGGAGTGGGCAGGGAGCCAGAGGCTGCGAACCTGTTCTAGGCTTGGGATGCTCGTACTGCATATAATCCTGGAGATTTCTGATACTGTGAAGGGTTTAGGAGCCACTGAGGCATTTATTTCAAAACTTCAAGATTTTGTGCCTTTATCCATGGAGGTTCCTCCTGTCCCTGCTGCAGCATAGCCCTTTACAAGTCAGGACATGGTCTGTGATGGCTGAGGAGGCCAGAAATCCAGCACCCCGTGGCCAAGGATAGAGAACCCATCCCCTACACTCTGGAACCCTCCTCCTTAGGAAGCCTACATCAGCCCCTTGGCAGCTCCCACCCACGGTTCCTGGTTCTGCCCTCCAAGGGCACATGGGACAATTCTAATCCTTCTCCTAACAACCTGAAGACTCTTCTCATTCAGGCTAAATGGGCTTGGTTTCTTCAGCTGATTCTCATCTCCATGTTCTATCTGTGCCTCTGCTTGGTGTCATGCCCCCAGAACATTGTGACCCTGGCCAGGGACCCCCCCACCCCCGGCGGTCCCCTTCTCCCTTTCCAGCCTCCTTTTGGCATTGTCTTTCCCCACCGGATTGTTCACGCCTGGAGGGGAGGGACTGTCTTTCTACATATCCTTCTTATCCCCTGCACTCAGCACAGTGCAGTCAGCAAACATTTACTGAATGGAAGTCAAGGCCCTACAACACCCTGGACAGCTCTCCTCTGGCCACGCTCCAGCTTGTCAATGCTGCTTCCTGATCCCCCAGCTGAGTTCTGAGGAAGCCCAGCCCAAGGTCACATTCATGTACGGACTGCCATATCCCACTGCCAATTCACACTGAGCTCAAGGTGGACTGAACCCCCTGAGCCTTTTAAAGAACTGATCTCTCTCCTTGCCCTCCCCCCAGCTTCTTCTTGTGAAGGCCATTCTCTGTACTGAACTTCACCCCATCAGCCTCAGCCTGCCGCTAGATTTAGGTGTAGAGATCCTTTTGGGGCCTGCCTGCCATCTAACTGCCCACGCTCTCTGAACCTGGTGAAGCAGGTGCTCAGGCAGTCGCAGCCACTCAGATGGAGCAGCACAAAGCCTTCTGGGAGGTTGCCAAACCTTTGGTTCAGACCCAGCCGTGAACAGAGGACAATGCAGGACCCTAAAACCCACGCACACACAATCAGTCACAGTAGCACCCCCCCCAAAAACATCTATTTGGGTGGAGACCCAAGGAAGCACTTCAAGTTAAGTCTCCCAGGGCTGGCAGCCTTGGAATTTTTCATCTGACAATAGCAAGTATCTCACCAAAGAAAGTACTGTGAATGAAAAGCAGAAAGAGGAAGAGGAAAAATCGCAAGGTATCTCATAGTCCAGTGTCTCTCTGAGAGCCCTTTGCTGTTTCTACAAGGCATGTGAGTGTGAATGCATTGAGTATGACATCTTAGCTAAAATTGAACTGGACCGCCTAGGACACTCAAAAGAAAAAACATCAAGGCTCAGGTCCAATTGTGGCTTGGGGTGATCATAACTGAACCATTTGTTAGGAGTGTCTAAGCCACTAGACCTGTAAAAAATGGAAGGGGGGAGGAAAAGGAAGGAAGGAGGGGGAGAGAGATTCAGCTAGTTCTTTACAAAGGAAGGAGTGGGAGTCTGAAGAGGAGGGTGTGGATGTGGGAACCAAGCGCTCTTTCTTTAAAGGAGCCTGACATCTCCGTCACTTGTCTTTTCTCTTTCTGCTGTGATGGGCTGCTGAGTCATGAATTTTCTCACTGGCTTAGTAACCAGAAAATATTTTAACTCCTCAAAATGTCAATGTGATAAGCTAAAAGGATGACAAGGTAGCACCTCAGCTACAGAGCCACCTCTGCACACATAAAAGCAGCACCAGAATGAGTGTAATCATTTTTATGAGGCCTAAGACCCACAATCATTCCTGAAGGATACAAGTACAAGCTGGACGAGACAGGGAAACTCTTCAGATGCCAATAAAATTAATATAATTTGTACTTAATCCAAAGGGTATAATTAATGAGAATCAACTCATCTCAGGCCTTTATTAGCAGCAGGGGAGAAAAACAGACATTCATAAAACAGTGTTCTGTTTTTATGGTGAAAGAAAAAGTCACTTGCTAATAAGACCTTATGCATTCATCACAGATAGCAGCATGTCAGAGTGTGACCAACCCCAGATTTCTGCAATAAAATCTAAGTAAAAGTAAAATATTACAAGCTGTGTGCTGGTAAATGTTTAACAAGTGCTCTTCCATTTTTAAGTTTAATCTTAATTATGAACATTTTCTCCATCACTTTCTTAAGTCTAGATAAGCAATAAAACAATAAATCAAGCTCTGATATATCACATTTGCCAATTTCTGATGTGTAAATGCTCACATAGAAGATTTAACAACCGGCTCCACATCCTTGAAATACTCTTTAGGGGAAATGTGCATTTACCTCTGAATGGAGGAAAAAAAAATGACTCAACTGCAGTTTAATTTTCTGCACACCCAACTGCCAACCTAAGTCCCTAACATTGGTTCTCAGTGTCATAAACAGGATGCCACTTGGTTAATGCATCAGTCCTCCTGTTGGGTATATGTAGAAAATGTATTATTAGCAAGTCACTAAGCAGAGGTCCTATCTAAGCCTGAAAGGATACATGCTCATGTTGTGGGTGACCCGGGGGGCCCCGCCACCTTGCCAGGCTTCCAACGCTTTGCGCCTTCCAGGGCCGCCCGTCCTCCTGCTCTTCCCCACAGCCCCGCTCCCATCTCTCAGCTCGGGGGCCCTGTCCCTGGCTCTTCCCCAGGTCTGGAACGGTCCCCCTTCTGCTATCCACCATCCAGCTTCCTGCCAGACTCAGCTACAATCTCCCGTTCTGCATGAGCCTCCGCTGCTCAGTCTGCCCCTGGTGGAGGTTATGGCCCCCCTTCCCCCAGGACAAGCTCCTGGCACCCAGCTGCCTGCATGCCATCTCCCCATTAGAATTCGGACTCCTTGGATGTGAGGACTATTTCTTTCCTTTCTTTGCATCTCAGAAGACAATACATGCTTGCTGCCTGACTAACTGATGGAACACAGATCCCAGAAGAACAAAATGAGGAACTATGCCCTCACCCCTACTAAGGGCAATAAGAAAGGGCAACTACGGAGCTCTCAGACTAGCACAGGAAGGACGGCGTAAAGGGCTGAGCTCTTCTCGAGATCAAAAGATGACCGTTCCCAGCAAAGGCTTAAGCGAAATGCTAACTCTTC